GGCAGTGAAGCTGGAAGAAAGACAATGTGCTTGGGGTGTAGGTAGAAGTAGATTTACAAGACCTGGTGGTGGATTGGTTGAAGAGGGAGGAGTTCCAGAAACCTCATCAGAGCCTTTCCTTAGCTCAATGTTCAACTCCTTTCTACTTCTCCTGTGTCTGATGGGGACCAGCCCTTTTCAGAGTTAATACCAGGGCAAATATTTCCTGAAAGGGAGAAGAGAGGGAGATCACGGACTTAACAGTATTGGTTAGTGGTATTAGGTTGTAAGTGTAACTAAATTTCCTCAGTGTTTCCGGGTGTGAGAGATGGACAAAGAGGTGGGAGAAAGCTGCCTGCCCCTAAGGAACAGCTGGGGGATCGTCTCTCCAATTTCCCTTACAAATGTGTCAAGTTGTAGATCCTGGGAAGTTGTTACCCTGCTGGAGAACATTTACAGTTAGGACAGAACTCACAGTTCAAATGACAAATAGAATCTGACCAAGTATGTTGATGTAATACTTTCTCATTCATTTTTATGGGAAAATAAAAAGAATTATCTTTGAAAACAAAATAGTATATATTATACATATACTATTTTATATAAAGTAAATCACAAAATCAATATATATTAATAAATACTATCTATTACTAGGCACTTATTTGTTAAAATACTAATAATTCATAACATTAAAATAATTAAAAGTCAAGCCTACAACAACAAAATAAGTAATTAAGCCCAATATTAATGGTTAGAGATTAGAGAAATCATGTTCCAAAACATACTTTTTGCTCACATTCTGGCTGTGGATATTTCAGTTTAGGTAATCAGTTCTGAGGCTGATTCTACAGACTGCTATTAAAGTGACTGTACAAGATTTATTCTTCTTTTCCTCAGTGTCTTTATACATATGCAATAAACCACTTCCCAATGGCCACATGGGGAGTCTCTATGTCAGTGTATGGAACTGTGTGTCTGAGTATGGAATTGACTAGCCAGAATTCATACAAAGAAGAGAAGCCAAAAGAGTGAGGGTGTTTTAACTCCTTCAACGTCAATAACAGATGAGAGAATGTGGGATGTTGAGCCTAGAAAAGAGAGACTAAGGATGACTATTTTAACTACTTTAATATATATTAGAAAGCCTGTAATATGAAAGAAGAATTTAATTTACTCTTTGTGGCCACAGCGGTAAAACAGGGTTCAATGGATAAAGCACAAAGGAAAGGGAAGCAAATATATGCTCAATGTAAAGAAGGCCTTTCCCAGTAGAACTGTTCAAAAGTCACACAGGCTATGGTGGCTCACTGTCACAAGTGGTACCTGCAGAGACTAAGTGACTATTTTTTGCATTAATGTTTTGTGAAGTTTGGTCAGTTTGTTTGGCTAAATTGGTTATTTGGCTAGATCAGAAAGTTTGGTTAAAGATTCTAAAGTCTCCTTCTATTTCTAAGATTCTTCATGTAACTGATTATGTCTTCAGCCTCCATTTTCACCATTCTAACAGTCACAAATTCCTATTTGGTGATTTAGGTAGTTCATTGGCATCGCATTGGGGATTACGAGGGAGGAATTTGAAGCTAGCTAAGTAATTAGTGCATTCCACTTCTCTGGCCACAGTGATTGGGTCAGGGGTGAGCGTGTGACTTAATCCAGTCTGATTTCTTGGGAATTCTGGGACAAATATGCTTTATTCCTATCAGCTATGGATAGGAAGCATGTAGTCTCTGCAATAACTGGTCGTCATCTTAGGACCACAAGGGGAGGTCTTGCCTAGAATGAAGTTAACAAAGAAACCAAGCAAAGAACTGAAGAGAGAAGAACCTGAAGCTGGTCAGGTTGTGGACACCAGCAGATCAAGCCATGCCTGAAGCTGCTTCTCCCAGTGGACTTTTCAATTATATGAGCCAATGAAGTTTCTTTTTGGTTTAAGCAGTTTGAGTGTGTTTTCTACACATGCAAACAAATGATTCCTAACTCTGATTCTTATCCAAATATGTGTAAAGTCATCCATTCTCAGAAAGTGAAAAAGAGACCAGCTGTATTTTGCATCCAGGGATCCACTGAACAACCAAGAGATCTCTGTGGGTTTTTGTTGTTGTTGTTGTTGTTGCACCAGGTCTTAGTTGCGGCAGGCGGGCTCCTTAGTTGTGGCATGTGAACTCTTAGGTGCGGCATGCATGTGGGATCTAGTTCCCTAACCAGGGGTCAAACCTGGGCCCCCTGCATTGGGAGCACGGAGTCTTATCCACTGTGCCACCAGGGAAGTCCCGAGATCTCTTAATACTAATGTCTGAATCACATAAACTCAATTTTTGTCAAAATCTGGCTTCAAAATCTGTATCTCTTTCAGAACAAACCATGTTAAACAACACGGCAACTAAAAATTTACTAAAGATTTAAAACAGATCTAAAGCAGTTTTACAGAAAACTTTTTTCTTTTAATTTATTTTTTATTTTTCGTTGCGTTGGGTCTTCGTTGCTGTGCACCGGCTTTTTCTAGTTGTGGCGAGTGGGGGCTACTCTTCGTTGCGGTGCACGGGCTTCTCATTGTGGTGGCTTCTCTTGTTGTGGACCACGGGCTCTAGGCACACAGGCTCAGTAGTTGTGGCACATGGGCTTAGTTGCTCCGTGGCATGTGGGATCTTCCCAGACCAGGGCTTGAACCCATGTCCCCTGCATTGCCAGGCGGATTCTTAAGCACTGCGCCACCAGGGAAGCCCCCGAAAATTTTTTAACCTATTTGCCTAAACTTAATCCTTCTTCCTCCTTGCAGGGCTACTGTCAATGAAAAAAAGTAGTTACAATCAATTTAGACATCCTGCGGGGTTAATGACCTTGTGAATTGATGATAATAAATGCTTAACTAATTTCTTGATTTGCTTAAAGTTTTGATAACTTCTCAACACTTAGAACTGTAAGGACCTTAAACGGTTTTGCATGCTGTTTTCCAACCTTTCATATTTTGATTCTATAGAATTTGGTTTTTGATCCACATCAACAAGTCATCCTCATTGGGGTTCAGATTTTATCATCATTTACTCCTGTGCCTATATGTAAATTGAAAAATGAAAATTGAAACCACAGACATGCACCAAAGCCAGATATTAGCATCAATCAACCTTGCTTCCCAGCTGCTGGTTTGTGGCCCATTAATGTGTTGAGTTACTGATTTTTTCCTTCAGTCCTCAGGGCAGCTGTACAGGGCCCAGGTAGATCAAGACCCCATATCAGAAGCCTCTGGCCAGGAGCAACGTCGTCTGTTCACCCAAAATGCAATAGAAATATTTTCATGTCCAATGTGTGGCATCACAATAAAAAGTCCATGATGCACTACCCTAAATAACACTGCTTAAAGGTTCTACCTTGTTCCTCTTCTATTGAACTTGATAGATTCCAACTCTGGAAACGTATAAAAAATATTGTTTTGCCAGCATATTGGTAAAGGAAGACAAGCTTTCCCTTTAGTTTGAATTCAAAGAATTCCAAAAAACTCCAAAATTTATTTTCCTTTTCAGTGTTGAGATAAAGAAGTGTTTTTCACTTGTCTCTTTCCCTTGAAAATTATTTTTATGTTCTTTTACTCAGTGTTCCTCTTAGATTTAGCAAGTGCTGGTTTAAAAATAAAATTGCAGATTTTCAGGGTGGAGCATATTATACATCACTCATGGACAAGACTCCTACAGCCAAACACAGAGATGTGAGAAATGATGCAGAGATCCCACAACACTATCCTTGGAAAATTTGTAAGGGACACTCCAGAAAGATAGATATTTGTTCCAATGATAATGCCAATGAACTACCAAGGGCCTGCCTGTGTATTACTCTCATTAACAATGGTTATTTAACATTTCAGGTTTTAAATTGCAGAAAGCAAATTCTTACACAGGTGTTCTCATATTGCAACTTAATGTTGACACGAAAAACACCATTTCATGGCAAGCACTAATCCTAGATATGGTCTGTGCTCAGTTCCCATGAAGGGTTCTATTGAGCCAGGAAAAAGTAATTGAATATCGATAGTGCATGAAATCTAGCTATTTATTGGCTAAAGTTTACATTTTATAACTGGCAGAAGATCAATTGCTTCAAGATGCTTGCTTTCATAGGATAAAATTTCTTATTTTATTAACAATAACCAGTCAGATACAAGCTCAAAACTCTGTTATATTTCCAAAGGCAGGGACAGGAAGCTTTTCAGAGCATTTCTTTTCCTAAACTAGAATCTTCCTTTGAATCCCACACTAAGTGCTGCCTTATTCTTTGTGGGGTCAGTGCTGCCTCTATCTCAGAATACAGGTAGGTCAGCGAAAACACTGTCATCTATTTTCGAACATCATGGGATCTTTGAAGTGAAAACTCTTATAAATAGTTGAAAGCATATTCTCAGAAGTCTGTTTGGAAACTATATGGTTTTGTTCAGAAGAAGATACCTGCTGAGGAAAGAGATTACAAGGCTGTGGATAGCCACGAAATCAAAGGGTTTATAGCAGCTGGCACACTGCTTATGCTTCACCGTGCTAGATTCACACAGAGTGGTTTAAAAAACATGTTGAAATTTTGAGCAGTCAGAAGTGTTTAATTCAGAAAAAAACCCAAAAACCTGTTATTTGCAGAATTCAAATTAATGACTGATGTAGTAAGGAGTTTTCACCCAGGAAATAAACAAATATTTGCTGATTTTTAAATTATGTATAAGGTTGGCCCTGCAGTAGGCATTCCATAAAAGCCTGAGGCCTTTGTTGGCAATCCCAACCGAAGAGCTCTTGATTCAGTGAGCCAAAGGAATGGAAAAAGATCCATGGTATACAGGTGGGTAATAATGGACTGGGTGTGGAACTAGTAGTTTCTGAGAATCTGGGATCCCACTGATTTGCTCACATAATTTCGTATGCCTCACTTACTCCCAGCTATTTCTGATCTATGCAGCAGACTTGGATTCTTCATATGGTTTAGATTATAGAGAAAATAAGTGATATCAATTCATTTCACTATAGGATTGCTTTTTTTCTTCTTTCTAGGGAGAGTCAAGCTTCTTGGGAGTATGGCACAGATGTATACAATTTTTCACAAAGGAGCCCACCATTTTGTAAGTGTTCAATAAATATTAAAAACAAAAATAACCTAATGACCTAATACTTGAGGAGTTAAAAGTTCTCATACATTGAAACGTCAGCTGTGTAATAGTTTAATATCATAGCAAGGACCCAAACTAATAGTCAGAAGACCTATGTTCTCATCCCAGCTGTGCTACTGAAAGATCTGTGAATACAGACAAATCACAAACTTTCCGATAGTCAATTTCCTTACTTAACGAATCCCTAATTTCTCAGATTTATTGTAATAATCCAACAATGTTCTTTTAAAATTGGAAGACCCTATAAGGTATGATATCCATCCTTTTGAACATCTGCATAAGATGTGATGGTATTCTCATATCTTAGGTAACGTGACTTAATAGCTATAATTTAATATTCTTTATAATAATAAAATGTTTATTGAATATAGCACTCATTTTAACTCTTAATCCAACTCAGAAAATATTAATTTGAGTCATCACCATGGGTAAAGAATTCACAAGTCAGATATTTCCCTATCCTCAAGGCAGTCATAATCTAACAAAGATGATAGACCCAGATACACCCACTCATTTATTCAGCAAATATTTATTGAATTCCTACTAGATGACAGGCACTGTGCTACAAATATGAAAAAGTCTGTACCATGACTTCAAGGAGCTTGTGTTCCAATAAGAAAGGGAAAACTTTTTTTAAAACCTGCAAATTATTCCCATACAATACATAAATGCTTTAATGGAAGTATGCACAACACAGTTTAAGAGTAGGGGTAGGAAGGAAACAATGGGGAAGATAAGAAAGTACTAAAATATGATGACTAGTACAACTGATGAAAAGCTCAGGATCAAATTTATGTTAAATTACCTATGTGATGTTTTACTTGCTTTCTCTGGTAGTTTCTAGATGTGTAAAATGGGGGGAAAATTCATATTATCTTCCTCACAGGACTTCTGTGTGAATTAAATGAGGTAATGCAGATAATGCTTTAGTATTGCACTTAGTTAATGATAAATGCTTAATAAATGTTTAATTATTGTTATCACATACATCTCCCATCTTTATTGTTTCTGAGTGCCTAATACAATATTATATACATAATAGGTTCTCTCTAAATTCTATTTTTTTTTTTCTGGTCACACCACGCGTTACGCAGGATCTTAGTTCCCCGACCAAGGATACCCACACCCCCTGCAGTGGGAGCACAGAGTCTTAACCACTGGATTGCCAGGGAAGTCCCTCTCTCTAAATTCTTAGTTGCAGTCCTACAGAGTCATTATTATGAACGTTAATCTAAAGGATTACCATCATAAATATCTATTCCAACAATATAACATTGAAGAGGTAATTTTTGTTTACTAAATTAATACCATCCATTTACCTTCTTAGTCCTTTGACTTTTTCTTCTATAAGCAGAATGAAGAAAATAAATAAATCAGAAACAAAATATACACATCCATGATAAATCGATTGAGGGTTCTAATTAATGGAATCTGACTTAAGCCAGATCAATTTATTAGTTATGATAATCACTATACATTTATATTTTAAAAGTGCACAGGGACTTTCCTGGTGGTGCAGCAATTAAGAATCCGCCTGCCAATGTAGGGGACACAGTTTGAGCTCTGGTCCAGGAAGATCCCTCATGTTGCGGAGCAACTAAGCCCGTGCGCCACAACCATTGAGCCTGTGCTCTAGAGTCGGCGAGCCACAACTACTGAAGCCCGCGCGCCTAGAGCCTGTGCTCCACAACAAAGAGAAGCCACTGCAATGAAAAGCCCGCACACTGCAATGAAGAGTAGGCCGCACTGGCCGCAACTAGAGAAAGCCCGCGCGCGGCAACGAAGACCCAGTGCAGCCAAAAATAAATAAACAAATATTTAAAATAAATAAATAAAAATGCACAAGTACTTAAGTCAGAAAGAGAAAAACAAATACCGTATGCTAACACATATATATGGAATCTAAGAAAAAAAAATTGTCATGAAGAACCTAGGGGTAAGACGGGAATAAAGACACAGACCTACTAGAGAATGGACTTGAGGATATGGGGAGGGGGAAGGATAAGCTGGGACAAAGCGAGAGAGTGGCATGGACATATATACACTACCAAATGTAAAATAGATAGCTAGTGGGAAGCAGCCGCATGGCACAGGGAGATCAGCTCGGTGCTTTGTGACCACCTAGAGGGGAGGGATAGGGAGGATGGGAGGGAGGGAGACGCAAGAGGGAAGAGATATGGGAACATATGTATAATTGGTTCACTTTGTTATAAAGCAGAAACTAATACACCATTGTAAAGCAATTATACTCCAATAAAGATGTTAAAAAAAAATCAAGAAGCCTGAAAAAAAAAAAACTGCACAAGTACTTTTTGGAATGTTCCATCATACTTAACTTAATGAAAAACTATTTCAATTTTGTAGTCTCTTTGGAAATAATTGAAGGGCTCTGTACACATACACACACAAAAATGAGGATTTGAAGAACTCATTCAGCTAAAGTGAGGGGCTGGATTCAAGAGGAAGAAATGAGGTATAAATTTTTCTATTAAAAATTAAAATCCAGGGCTTCCCTGGTGGCACAGTGGTTGGGAGTCTGCCTGCTAGTGCGGGGGACACGGGTTCGAGCCCTGGTCTGGGAGGATCCCACATGCCGCGGAGCAACTAGGCCCACAGCTAGTGAACCTGCGCGTCTGGAGCCTGTGCTCCGCAACAAGAGAGGCCGCGATAGTGAGAGGCCCTCGCACCGCGATGAAGAGTGGCCCCCGCTTGCCACAACTAGAGAAAGCCCTCGCACAGAAACGAAGACCCAACACAGCAAAAATAAATTAATTAATTAATAAACTCCTACCCCCAACATCTTCTTTAAAAAAAATAAAATAAAATCCAGCTCTTCACTACTGGGAAAATATAACTAAATATATTTCTTTTTTTTCCTGCATTATTAGCCAAAGCCAGGTAAGAAATCCCTTGATTTTAGAACTTTGAGAGGCATTTGATTTTCTAAAAGGACATTCTGAACTCTTTATGCTGATACAAATTTAAAGATGTAAATGACTCAGTTACTCATGAAAATCTAAAAGCATTAATCTAAATTTTAAAAAGGTCCAAAGCATTGGCCAGTTTATATTCTTATGGCAAATAAAAAGTAGCATTCAACTGGCTTTGTTTTTCTGTATGCATCTATTCTTTTTTTTTCTGCCAGTTTTTTTGAGATATAATTGACATATAACATTGTACTGGTTTTAGGTGTACAACACTATGACTTGACACATGTATATATTGTGAAATGATCACCACAATAAGTTGAGTTAATATTCATCACCTCACAAAGTTACAAAGTTATTTCTCTTGTGATGAGAACTTTTAAGATCCACTTTTGTGGCAACTTTCAAATATGTGATACAGTACTGTTAGCTATAGTGACCATACTGTATGTACATTATATCCCCAGAACTTAATCAACCGGCTTTATTTATTTTTTTAAACATCTTTATTGGAGTATAATCGCTTTACAGTGGTGTGTTAGTTTCTGCTTTATAACAAAGTGAATCAGCTATACATATACATATATCCCCATATCTTTTCCCTCTTGTGTCTCCCTCCCTCTCACCCTCCCTATCCCACCCCTCTAGGTGGTCACAAAGCACCGAGCTAATCTCCCTGTGCTATGCGGCTGCTTCCCACTAGCTATCTATTTTACATTTGGTAGTGTATATATGTCCATGCCACTCTCTCACTTTGTCCCAGCTTACCCTTCCCCCTCCCCGTGTCCTCAAGTCCATTCTCTACGTCTTCATCTTTATTCCTGTCCTGCCCCTAGGTTCTTCAGAACAATTTTCCTTTTTTTTAGATTCCATATATATGTGTTAGCATATGGTATTTGTTTTTCTTTTTCTGACTTACTTCACTCTGTATGACAGACTCTAGGTCCATCCATCTCACTACAAATAACTCAATTTCGTTTCTTTTTATGGCTGAGTAATATTCCATTGTATATATGTCCGGTTTATTTTTTGCTTCTGCTCTCTCTTTTTCCTTCTTTCCCTTCCTCTCTCCTTTCTCTTCCCATCCATCCTTCCCTCTTTCTTCCTCTTTCATTCTTTCTATTCTTCCTCCCTTCCTTCTTTCCTTTCTCTTTATCTCTACCTTTCACTTTTTTTTCTTTATATGGCCAGGGATCAGGATCTTTCTTAAGTGCTGGCAAAGAAGCAATGAATAAGATAGACATGATTCCTTCCTCAGAGCTTACAATCTTCTATGGAAAACTGTTAATTAAACAAGTGTTTTTATTACAACATTAGCAGTGCTATATAATCAGGCAAATACAGTGTAGGACAAGAGCACATTTTTGTGGAATGTTTAGTTCATGAACAAGAAATAGTTCATTACCCAGGGTTTTCGAAGTTGGTTTACATTTTACTATGTAGGTATTTATGTATAAGTATATAAATACAAAAATACAACGTAAGAAAACTGCCTCACAGTATCCCAGGGTGATTAGGCTAATCCTCTTCACCAGACATTTATAAAATAAAAGAACAAACGAAAGAAAGATTAAAGAAAAAAACATCCTTTTGTATCTATGTGGGGATGACCTAAAACTTTCTGAGTAATGTCTAATCTTTCTAAAGAAATGTCACTGCGCACATTTGGATGCCTTTGGACCTAGTCTGGATTTTCAAGTCTCAAAGTATCAGTTATGACCTAATAAGACCTATGCCATCTGGTTTTTTCTTGTTGGGAGAAGCTTTTTTTCATTTACTATAGAAGGACATATTTTAATTGTATTTCTTCCCACACAAGTTTATATGCAGGTTGACAAGCTTTCTCAAACATCAACACTTCTGATTCATCATAAGGTTTTTTTCCTGCAGTATAATCACAGATGACTGTTTTCCAAATGCTTTTTATAAGTTTTGATCCTGACCAATTAGCAAATAAACCCCTACATGGACTGATTAGTTCTGAACAAACCTCTTGCCATAAAACATCAACACTTCTTACAGGGTAACACATCAACAATTATGGTTCAGTTCTAATTTACTGCACCTACTTGCCTTCTTGGAGGATGGCAGCAGGCCAGGCAGGAATATCCAGGCTGGTTTGAAAGCTCGTTCTGGTTGCCTAGCAAACCTCCTGTCGTAGGAGCCTGGCAGCCCGGCCTCTACAGAGCCCGAGCACCCAGCACACACCCTCCTCCTCCCAGGATGAGGTCCAAACACAAATGCTATTTTAATAACAGAATACTTTCTTCTCTTCCGTAATCAACCCATGTACATATTTAACACAGAGCATTATAAAATTAAAAATGGGGGAGAAGTAGTTGAATATTTCTAGATCAGTATAATTTCCTGACCAATTTCTGTAGAATATCAGCACAACACAAATAAGTAGGATGCTTTTTTTCAAGATAGATGGCACAGCTAAATTTTCCAAAAATTTAAATGATATCCATAAGTATATATGTAAAACTAAGGCAACTACTAGATACCAATAGCAGCAACAGCCTTTGCAAACTCTCTGTCATCTATGGAACATTAAACATCCATCATTTTCCAAAGTTCTGTCATGATTGTAACTCCTCGGTCGTTTTTAGGAAAAAACAAGGTCTAGAATAACATCCTTGAAAGCAACCCTGGGTCAGCATGGCCACCAGTACGTATCATAAAGCAGATACAAGTCTCTACATTCATAGAGACATAATATAGTACTATCTTGCAGCTATACTACTAGAATGTATAAAATGTAAAAGTTATTTTTTTTGACAATTCTACTTTTCCAGCACAGAGGGCTGATGTTTTCAAACATAAACGACACTCTTTCTCTTTCCCTCTCTCTCCTTCTATCTTTCTCACTCCCTCTACCTCTGTCTCTCTCGTGCAATTTCAAGAAAGCTCTGGGAAGCAACATGGTAATGGAGAAATACTTATCTGAGAGTCAGGGCACTTGAATCTAGGTTCTGCTCAGACACTACCCAGTTGCATAGCTTTGAACAATTCATTTTACTTTTCTGCGCCTCAATTTCCTCATCTGTAAGAGTACAGGATTGGCCAGGGTAATTTTAGGGTCTCTTCTGATTGCAACATTTTATGTGTTGTCTGTAAAATTAAAGAGAATCCAAGAGCCACTATGAGTTAGAAAAATAAGAGTAAATATCTGAATAATGTCAAATTTTGATTTTTTTTGAATGCAGAAAATATCTGTGGCAGGAATCTCATCTCCTCTGCTCCACACCTGCTAGGCTCCAGGCTAGGCTGTGTATGTTGGACAAGCTAGCGAGCTAGGACTAAGAGGAGGTTTTGGTTTTTGCTGAAGGGGAAAGAAGACGACTCCAGGAAGAGAATGAAATAGATGGTGACTCCAGAAGTATGCCTCTAAGAAAGAGGTGTCAATCTACGGACAGGGATGGTCTAGGCAGGGGCTAACAGAGGATGAGTCCCTGCTGCTTCTGCGTCCACTTGCTGAGGTGGGGAGGGGAGCGCATTCTCACTCTTTATGGACAGAAGCCCTGGGGAAGCAGACCGCCCCCCGCGCTGCTGGGCTTTGGCAGACTTAGGAGAGCTGGAGGACAGCACCCTGGCTCCTCTAGTGAAAGGCATGTTTGACTATCATAGTAATAATCTCCTTTATTACATTTTATAACTTATAGCGTCTTACAGTCTTTGTTGCATTACACCTTTGAATAATGTGACTCTTGTAACTGACTGTATTTTTCTCTGTGCTTTGACTGCTAGAAAGTTCATAGACCAAACTGCAGCCTGGCTCTCAGGGTTACTGTGCACTGTGTGATTTTGTACAGGTTTGCACTGCACATCTCCAGGGGGTGCTGTGTTCCCTTTTGAGTAGGTGTTGGCGCCATTTAATCAAGGCAGAAGAAGTAGTCCTTTAGTCACCCCTATTATTCTTTCCCCCTATCTCCAATGGATCATCCAGACCTTTCCACTGCATGAAACAAACATTCCTTAACCACATCCTATTCTCCTCAACACACTGCAGCTGCCACAATTCACATCCTCACCATATACCACAGTTGCAACAGCTTCCTAGCAGCTCCAGACATGTGTAAAACAGCAGAAGGTTTTCTCCTCTCCTGGAGGGCTCAAGAATTATGGAAAGAATTTTCACTGTTGCTCCCTATCACACACTGACAGGACAAAACCTAAGATCTCTATCGGGGCTTACAAGGTCTTCCTAATCTGGCCCTGCCCACCTCTCCAGTTACCTCCTATAATCCCCAGCTCTGTTCTCCATTCACGGATGTGCTTGTAGTTCCTCAGATATACACCATGCCATGCCTCCTTGCCGGTTCAAATATTGTTCCATCTGCTCCAAGTGCATTTCTCCTCGAGAAAAGCTCCTACCCTCTCCCCTATGACACTGCACATTCTGGAGGCAGGGTCTGTGTCCGACTGATCTTTGTTTTCCTGGTACCTAGCAAGACGGGGGTAAGGGATTAAGAGATACAAGCTACTATGTATAAAATAAATAAACTACAAGGATATATAGCACAACACAGGAAATACAGCCAATATTTTATAATAACTACAAATGGAATATAACCTTTAAAAATTGTGAAACTATTTTGAACCCCTGAAACTTATATGATATTTTACATCAACTATACCTCAATAAACAAAATCTCAGAAGTTTTTAGACCTTTTTAAAATGTCTTAATAAATAAATAAATAAAGCAAACAAATAAATAAAATGTCTTGGGGTTCTGAGGCATCAAAGTTGGGAAACTGTCACACTGAGCTTTCAGGGTACCAACTCCATATCTATAATTGTAACCCAAACTCAGCAGGCAGAGTTATAATCACATATTGCACCCCTAAGTTCATGGAGAACTCTTACTTATCCTTAAGACAGTTCCCACCTCCTTTTCCTCTGAATATACTGGAGACAGAATTAAACTGATGTTTAATGTTATTAACATGTTTAAGTGATGTTAATAATAATTAAATACAGCTGCATTCAGGAGCTCTATTAGGGTTAGACTTTAATGAGCCTGAAGGTAATAAATGTTGCTCAGGGAAAGTTACGGAGCTCAAGATATTTAGGCTTTTGTCTTCACAGAACAGCCTTAAAGGATAAGGAAGAATGACATAGATCATAAGCCCTGACACCTGGGGTCTATATTAAAATTGGAGCTCCTGATATTTAGGTGATGACAATGAACTATGACTAGCAAAAAAATGCAATAAATGGAGTGGGCTTTGGGGATGGAAAAAAATCAGTGCATTATTTCCAAGTAGGCTGGGCTTTTAAGGCCAATAGCCGTGTGATTCGAGGTTGGCATATTACTGGCTGGTGAGTCTAGGTGGCAAATCATATCTGCTGTGTCACATGCTAGTAAGTCCAGGTAATGAAACTGTTATTTCCTTGGGTTCTCTTGCTATGTCAGCAATATTTTCCATCCTGATGCTTCCCTAACCACACATTTGTTTAGTTACCATGGCACTGAAATGACCACATTCTTGAAACTTTGGTGTCCTCCACAAAATTAATTAGACTGTAAACAGAAATTCTAGCAAAGTGGTACATCTCATCATGCAATGAAATTACCAGTGCAGCTGGGAGCATATGCCATGGAAGGAAAAGGAGAATCACTCTTACTCTAAGAAAAAATCTGTTATTGGATTACTATAGCTACAAAACTGTGTATTAGGTTTTATGTGCCTAGGACGGCAATTTGCAGAATAGTTTTCAAAATTCCAGTAATATGTTGGCTACTCAACTTCAATGCACAATATTGGGGCTTTTGCAACTGACAGACTGACAGAAACAAGACTGGAGAGAAGCTGCTTGATTGCCTCGAGAGTGGCCTGAAGGAAAACCACCCTTTAAAACAGTGGAGATGCCAGCAGGACAGCCTGTCACTTTCTAAGAACTGAGCTTTATTCACCTGGCCAGAGAAGACATAATCTGAAAGAAAATTTCTCTATATCTTTTTGGAGATTCTTCAGCCCTTCACACAGAAATGGTGTGTCATACATCTTGGGACCAGCGCAGATGACCCTGTCAAGTGGCTAAGAAGGTGGGCGTGAATGCCCAGGGGCAGGAGAGGAAATGCCAGCAGGCACAACCCATCCAACATCGAGCAAAATCCTGGCCTTTTTTGCTCTGAATCCCCTTTTGGCTTCTATGTTGCCAGTGCATTAGGTGCATGTTTGGGGAAATATTTCTACCCTCTTAAGATCCATGTTATTATTACTAATGAATTAACTCAGAATGCTCATGGCTTTGTTCCATCCCAAAAGATAACACCTAAAAGGCAATGCCAAATTAAAAATTTCTATCATTTGCAATCACGCCACAAGACTCTCTTCTGCTAATTCTAGATCCCCATGCTCTGAAAATTAAAAATGGGCAAAGATTTCCTGCAGACCTGTACAGTCCTGGAATAAGGGTATACCCATGACAGAAGAGATTGTTTTCGATATATATCCACTGGGGAATGCTACACACCCACACAAAGCTGCCAGGTACTGCCTTTCACATTTAAAAGCTGTAATTTACTGACAGATATGTAAAATCTGATGTATTTAGTCAGCTCCTGTCAACCACATGTGTACTGAAACACAAACTACATAGAAGTGCAAATTATTCCATCTGAGATCAGCATTAATTGAAACTTAGAGTAACAATCCCCTTAAAACTTTCTTGAAAAACTTGTTGCCACATGAACTCCAGTGGTTTTTGTTTTGTGGTTTGTTTTGTGTTTGTTTGTGTGTGTGTGTGTGTTTAGTGGAGCCTATTGAGCTATCTGTCCTTTGCTCATGCAAGGAATTTTTCGTAAGGAGAGGTTCAGGAAGCTAAGGAAAGGAGCTACGTTATAGAACACACAGGTTACACCGATGTTAAGAGCCAGTATCCTCTCCAGTGGGTCTGCAGTCTGCAGGCATGTCCTCAGCTACACTCAACAGCCAGCCTCTGTATTCTAGGAGGGATGACACAGGTCAATTAACCATCTTGTTTGTATTTAGAGCTAGGAAGCAAACTTAAAGTTCAATATTTGGGGTTTTACATTATATACTACGTGTGAAATTTAGCTAAAACGCCAATTTTCCCAAGTTGCCACCATGCTGTGTGTATGGCTGAGACATTTTCCCCCCAGATATATGCAAGGAACCTGGATACTGCAGTTCCTTTATTATATATCCATGACATGTATTGTTTTATTTACAAGATTTACTTTGTATTTTAGCACGTATGTATAATTAAAAATATATGCATAGATAGGGTCAGCTAGTCCAAATATGGCGAAATTATACTATATAGATGATACTTCCAGTAAAAAGATCTTATTTCTTCTTGACAGCCTGAGCCTATTAGCTGTCTGAAATCCCTAGGTATAAAGTGATTCTTATAGGACACTTTTCCTTGGAGCTTAAAATGTAAGACAATGGGCTTCCCTGGTGGCGCAGTGGTTGAGAGTCCGCCTGCCGATGCCGGGGATGCGGGTTCGCGCCCCGGTCCGGGAAGATCCCACATGCCGCGGAGCGGCTAGGCCCGTGAGCCGTGGCCGCTGAGCCTGCGCGTCTGGAGCCTGTGCTCCGCAACGGGAGAGGCCACAACAGTGAGAGGCCCGCGTACAGCAAAAAAAAAAAAAAAAAAAAAGTAAGACAACACTATGTCTCTCTATCCTATTACAAAGGCGGCCTTATATTCACAACTAACAGAAATCAGAAAATGCCAGAAGTTAATGTACTGGAAAAGGCTGTTAACCCTCTTTGGTTTTATAAACAAATATGGTATGTGTCTCTTTGTGTGAACATGTAGGTCCCAAATGAATATGTAGGTAGAAAATATATAGGTCCTATGAATATGTAGGTAGAAAAGAGTTAAGAGCAACACCTATTTGACCATCCCATCAGGCTAGAAAGTAGACAGTTGGAGTTTCCTCAGGGAATTCTTTAGAAGGATAAAGTAAGGAGCACCACCAATATGGCATATTTTTCCTTGCAGAACGGATCATCCACCTGCGGATCTTGGAGCAGAAAACCAATCTATTTTTTTCTCTAAAACTGAAGGAGTTCTTGAGGGAAGGAAACAGCCCTGTACATTATGCAGAGGTATGTCCACTTCAGATAATATCTGATTAGGACTGGTAACAAAAAGAATTTAACAGTAACAAATTTTCCGTGTGGTTAACTGGAATTACTAAGTGGCTAAAAAATTAAACTGAAGTACAAAAACATGTTTTCCATGTGAGTTTCCCTTTGACCTTCATTCCTTCCTCATTTATTTAACCATTCTATGAGCATATGCTAGACACTAAGGATGCAAGGATGAATAGGATACAGTCCCTACCCTCCGGGTGCTCCCAGGGTAGTGAAGGAAACAGCCATATGAACAGGTAATTATGAAACAATGTGTTAAGTGACAATGATATGCAGAGTATTATAAAAATATAGAGGTAATTCATTCAGGGCCAAGACACCTCACCTTCTGAGGAGGTGACAGAAGTTTGCCAGGTGAAGGAGGAAGAGAATTACATATTGAGGGAGAAGCAAGAGTTAAGACAGGGCTTCCCTGGTGGCGCAGTGGTTGAGAGTCTGCCTGCCGATGCAGGGGACACAGGTTCGTGCCCCAGTCCGGGAAGATCCCACATGCCGTGGAGTGGCTGGGCCTGTGAGCCATGGCCGCTAAGCCTGCGCATCTGGAGCCTGTGCTCTGCAATGGGAGAGGCCACAACAGTGAGAGGCCCACATAACGCAAAAAAAAAAAAAAAAAAAAAGAGTTAAGACAGATGACCAAAAGAAAAAAAAAAAGTATAAATATAAATGTATGTATACATGCATATATGCATATATGTGAAGAGTAACTATAAGCAATTGGTGTTACTGAAGTTTAAAGCTCAAATAGTTTAAAAAAATGATAAGGCTAAAGAGAGCATCATCAGTAAAGGATCCATTTTTCCAAAATTAAAGAGCACTTGCTTTAGTCTGAAAGCCATGAGGAAACACTGAAGGATTTTAATTAGGAAAGTAGCATGGGCCAATATATGTTTCGCCAACATCACAACAGCTGGCAGTTACGTAAAGGATAGATCTGAAGGTAAGATCTGGGCTAGAGACAGAGACATGAACAGCATTCTCATAATAGGGGCAGTAGAACCTCCGAGAAGGAAATAATCTCCTAGGGATAGTGTGCAGAGCAAGAGGCCGTGGGCTGACCATGAAACCCTACAGCATACCCACATTTAAAGGCTAGGTAAAGGACTTAGGTGGATTTTATTGACAATCTTCCTTGGCCGGAGGAGATTATTCTTGATTTGGCCGGTGTGCCCACCTACTGCCTGGTTATTCCATGATTAGATTGGTGTCCAAAAAAGAAACGGTTTCATATGTGTATTTTGAAAATATTAATTTGATTTAAGATTTATTTCATCCTCAGCAAAATTGTTCCAGTATGCAATTTTAATAAAGTTGGAGTATGAAATATATATTTCTTATTAGATCACACCAAAACTACAAAGAGTTTTCTTGATGGTTAAATTACCTTACAGTGTAGAGAGAGAAAGCATAGGAAATGATTGCCTTTCCTCTGTTCCATGGTGGGTTATTTTATTCTTAGAGCCCATGCATGGTCCACGACAGAACAAGTACCTGGTAGTGTGCCCACTGTAGGTGCCAAGAACTGTTGTATCTACTCTAATATGTGTGAAGCTGGATCACTTAAATAAAAGTTGTTCTTCATGATATGGGTGATCTCACCCACTCCAATGACTTCAACCACCAGCTGCACACAGATGCGTTCCAAATCCTTGCCTTTCTTCTGAGCTCTGGAGCCTTATGAACAGTTGCCAACGAGGCACTGTGGATGGCCTCCAGGGACCTCCCACTTCAAATGCACAAAAGTAAACTTGTTTTCTTTCTCATACACGTGTTCCTTCTCCTATAGTCACTATCTCCAAGAATGACACTAAAATTTGCTCAGCTACCCAGGTCAGCTCGGATTCTTCTTTCTCCTACACCACCTCTTGCAACCCTTCAACCACCTAACCCTACAGAATCTAATTATTGATCAATGGTCTTCATCTCCTCTTTTCTACTCCTCATCCTCTGTCCTCTCCCAGCCTTTAAGTCCCTCACCCAACCAATCCTAACTCCAGGGTTTGATCATATTATTCCTTAAACGTGTAAAATGTTTTTAGTGGATTCCCATAGCCTTTTGAAAATTCTGACTTCTTAGGTGCCACAAGTCCCCCCATGATGTGGCTCCTGCCCAACTCCCCAGCTTTATGTTTCGTCTGTGGCTCTCCACCCTCAGCCTGCCCCACACGTTCACATTCAATTATACCGTTGAATGTGAATTCAATTATATTTTTTATATGCAATTCGATGGACTTGGGAATCTAAAATAGTCATTGCATTACCTCTGACACACTTGAACAAGAATTAAATAATTTCTAATTTACTCAATAATCACCTAACGTAACGATACACGTCATGTCTTTTGGCAAAAACAAAAACTAGATATATTGAGTTAAAAAGGCAAATGAAAATCTTATCCCGATGTTTGGATTAAGTCTTTTTTAAAAATAAGGAGGAATTCCCTGGCGGTCCAGTGGTTAGGACTCCACGCTTTCACTGCTGAGGGCCCAGGTTCAATCTGTGGTCGGGGAACTAAGATCCCGCAAGCGCACGGTGCAGCCAAAAAAAAAAAAAAATTTAGGAAAATGCAATCTATAAAATTTCCTTTTAAAAATTACTCTCTTGTTTCACACAGTCTAATTAGAGTCTGTTTCATTATAATTTTATCTGAACTCTATATGCTGTAGTGCAAACCCTGTGAGTCATAGGATAACTATTCCCAGTTTGTAGCCAATTCTCCAGAGAAGCGAAGGAAAAAAGAAACAACTGCCTTTTAAGGAAATCAAACCTGTTTCTAGAGATAAACCTCTGTCCATTTCTATTGGAACATATTCTCAACAACCAAAAAAGAGAATACTATAAAATACAGGTCTATTGGATGAGCCATGTGGAAAATACGTCTGTAGGTTTATTTAATGTTTCTCCTATGTCAAAATCTATTATACATAAACACATTACATAAACATGTGCACCTGGGCACATGTGAAATGGTAAAAATAAAAGGACATTTCTTTCTCTGCAAACATTACAACATCTGGTCGCAGTTTGGAATTATATTTTGGCTACTCTGTTAAAGAAATTTGTTTTTAAAAGTAAAAAAAGAAGAGAACTTGGAGTTTCTAGGAACCTTATAAAACATGAAATTTGTATTGCAAAGCATTTGTATAGAAAGCTGAATGGGAAAGATTGTAAAAAGTAGGGCCACGCAGCAGGCACTGTTCAATTAACCCCTCTCTGCCTAACTCTACAATTTGATGGGAAAACTATCACTTCAGTTTTTACTTCTCTCTAACTCTGCTCATTCTCTGATTTTGAAAAGTGAAAGAATATAAAATTTTAGTATTGGGAGGCTTGATATTTAGCTATTTTTCCAAATATTTTGCAACTGTTTTATTCTCCTTACATTATACCAAAATATGCCTGCCACTAGTCTTTTTGTCAGTGTCTTGGACTGAACTAGAAAAATGACTCCTGGCATAATCAAATTCTTCTTTTAAAGTAAAGCACAAGGGATTGATGTTTATCCAGTAACACAAATCCATTTTTACAGATTGAAATATTTTTAGTGTTGCTACCTGGAAGTCATATATAATAAGAAATACACATATACATGTATGTACATATATCTACATAGTATAAAACCAGGTTTTGTTTTTGACTAAATTCTTTCCTACTTCTCTTATCCAAACAACAAAGCTATAGCTGAAGAATTCAAAAATTAAAAACTTGATTCCCGGATATTGTCACAACACCCTAATGCCATTATTCAGTCAGAGAATTGCAATCGTTGAATTCTATGAATCTGAGGGGGGAGGGACTTGTTTTTAACCAAGTTACTTTTAATCAACTGACAGGGTTTAATATGAAGAATAGGTAAAACACTTGTACTAATCAATATGAAGAACACAAATAACCTAAAGGTATTCTAAAGATATGAATAGGCAATTCACAGAAGAAAAAACACATACAGCCAATAAACAAATGAAGAGATATTCAAATTACCTGGTGGTCAGAGAAATACAAATCAAGACCACAAAGAGATAACATTTTATACTTAGAAGAATGGCAAAAATTTAAAAGTCAGATCAAGTGTTGGAGAAGATGTAGAGGCACAGGGTACCTTAGGCATTGCTGGTGGAATTGTAAAATCATGCATCAATTTGAAAAAGAGTTTTTTCTCCTAAACCTGATCATTTACAAATCTATGACCCAGCAATTCCACTCCTGGGTTTATAGCTAAAAGAAACCCTTGCCCTCTTGCAGCAGGAGACATGTTCCAGTAGCATTGCTCAAAACAGCAAAAACCTGGAGCAGCCCACATGCCCCTTGACAAGCAAATGATAAGTAAACTGTGAGATGTTCACATGGTGGAATACTATACATCCAACAAAACAAATGAACAAGTTGCAGCCATATGGATATATCCTAGTGATAATATCTTAAGTGAGAAAAACAGTCTCCAAAGACTAAATACAGCAGGATGCCCTTTTTATAAAGTTAAAAACAACTAAAATTAAAATATCTACTTCTTAAGAATGCATACATATCCAATAAAACTATATAAAAAGAAAGGCAAGGGGGCTTCCCTGGTGGCGCAGTGGTTGAGAGTCCGCCTGCCGATGCAGGGGACATGGGTTCGTGCCCTGGTCTGGGAAGATCCCACATGCCGCGGAGCGGCTGGGCCCGTGAGCCATGGCCGCTGAGCCTGGGCATCCAGAGCCTGTGCTCCGCAACGGGAGAGGCCACAACAGTGAGAGGCCCGCATACCGCAAAAAAAAAAAAAAAAAAGAAAGAAAGGCAAGTAATGATGAATACAGAATTCAGAATGATGCTTACATCGAGTCAGAAGAGGCAGAATGATATGGTGGGAGATGGGGGTCCATAATGTTAGATGTAGGTTATTTTTTTAGTTTTTGGTTAGGAAGTTGAGGTCACATGTGCTTATAATATTATTAAAAATAGCTTAAAAATGTTCT